AAACTGTGAACTGTGTGATTAATCAAGGCACAAGTATTTTTATGCAAAAAAATCTTGGAAGTACCTTAAGAATCTAACATGCAGACCCTCAGGTCATATTTGAGATGTTTTTTCTTTCCCTTGAGAAAAAAAAAGAACTAATTACTTCAGCCAGGCTCTGTCTGATTCAGTTGCTACAGCGTCCTTGTTTAGTGTGTAAACCTCGGTTTGGTGTAGTCTGCGTGACCTTTGACCCTAGGCTTTTGCGGAAGACTGTATAAAATAGTACTGACAGTTGTTAATGAAGACTTCATCTTCTGTTCTTGCCAATTATGTTGTGTAGTTGTACAGAAACAATTATTTCTGCCATTCCGTTTTAGTGTTTGGTACCGTTGGGCAAATTGAGTTTGCTGTAGTCAGACTTGGTGTATTTGTTCATTTTGTGCAGTGAATTGTTTGATCATTCTTTGTTTTTTGGTAAAGGCTTTGTTTAAGAAAAATAACTAAAACCCAGTTGTGGATTGTGTTTATATATATTCTTTATCATCAGAGGGATTTTACATTGAATCTTTGTCTGGATTGTGTGAAAAATTGTGATATTGTAAAAATAAAATGGAGATAGGTGAAATCTCCAAACTTGTATCTTTATATAGTATGTGTGCTCGGGCACGACATAGATATGAAACTCACTGAAAAGGGTTTTATTTAAATTTCTGTGAGTAATGGGGTGCACTCATGTTAAACGTTTTTGAAGGACTTGAGTTAATACTCATACTCAGAATGAGTGTTTTTTGGGGGTGGGAGAAAAACAGGATTTTGCCTCAAAATGAGTGCAGGTGTATTGCCCGATTCAAGCCAGTCACACTACAAATTGGGATGGTTTTTGAAGTGCTGAAAGTTTTTTGATGACAAGAGTTTTGATGACTTCCGCTGTGACAAATGTAAGAAATGTCAACAGCATTTCGCTTGCGTAATTTTAATTTTGTTTTTAATAACGAACCACTAAAGACTTTGGTGTCACTTAAATCCAATTCGGTTTAATAACACTGGACTCAAGTCAACTGAATTTTCCCCAACAAAAGTTGAACGAGGGTTTTGGTTCATGAAAGAATCTCTTAAATATGGCATTATGTCCACGCAACAAACAAAATTGTTACTTGTGCTGGCTTGTTCACAGAAATTCAAACTTCCAACGGGTGTGCTGATCAATTATGACAAAACAGTAATCTCATTTCATGCATAAATGGTGAATTCTTGTAGCAAAAACTCAAGGACAGTTCCTAAATCTGATCAGTTTCTGTGTCCAATTACCACCTGCATTCATTTTGTTGGCAACACCTTCTTGTCTTGATTTTTTTTTTTTCAAACAAATGGTTGTACAGTTTTAAGCTATTTAATTTTTTTTCTCGTCTTTGAAGCCAGAATGGACCCACTGATTACTGAGGCCATTTCACTACTGGCTGGTTGTAGAAGAGTTTAACCTTTTATAAGAATAAATTATCAGCGAATGAGGAAAGAGAACTGATAAAACAGGAGTCTGTCTTGTTTAATTATTTTTGCCTGTTTTGCTGAGGTAAGGACAGTAGTTTACATCCATTTTTTTTCCTCTGTATTCAAAAGATTAAATGTGTTTTCCGGGAACTGCATCCAAAAGTGGTTTATCCTGTGACTGGGAGGGTTTGAAATCAATTGTCTGACAAAATGAAATCAAAATCAAAACATTCGCAGAAAAAATAATTTTCTGTTTCAGGAAAGATTTATCTTGGAAATTCTGTCGTGTTGAAATTTTCTGTACAACAGTCAGTAAAAAGATTCTTTACAAAAGATCTGCTGTGCTCTGTCACAAATTTGATTAGTCAGAAAATGTGTACATGTTCAAAAATAAGGAAGTCAGTTTTTCCCCCCAAAAATGTAGATGCTGGATGGTGGATTGTTAAACATAAACTCTAATATATTCTTCGCCAACTAGTGCTTGTGCTGAATGTGAAAAGTGTAAAAAATAAATCGCGAGCACCTTTGAAATGGTCTAATTTGGACGGAATGGATGTTAGGAATGTTTCCTAAGTTAAGATATAAATTGTTTTGTACACTTGACTTTATGACAGAATAATAAACACACTGCTATAGGTAACATTTGTATTTCTGCAAGATGATGAACCTTTAACCCTAACAGTCCTCAATCCTTCACCTGTTGGAGGACTGAGGACTGTCAAGGTTAAAGTCGGGTGCAACCTGGAGCATTTTGTGAACAAATTTGGCAACTCTACCACATTACCACGCGCAGCCCCATGATATTGGGCCTTAGGTTTTGCCCTTGCATTGAAATAGCCGCTCATTAGAAATAGTTAAATGTGTTGTAAAGTGCCAAACAAACAATTGTAAGGATTTCTATAATATGTACAAGGTACAGGAATATATAAGGAGATTGGACTGTAGATGAGCAGACAAGACAGAGGCTCAGTTAGCTATGAGAATACAACGGACCTCTTAAAATAATATTTTTGATGAAGCTGAAAACCCTTCATTTTTTATTTACAATTTTAAAACAGGTGCTTCACTTGTCTAAAATCAAAAATGGCAGTTTGATGACCTCCGTCTTGCTCTTCACCAGGACTTTTCAAAAAGGTCAGGAACATTCTTAAGTTTTCCAATGTTCACAACACAGTCTGTAATCATAAGCCTTGGATCTACAAAAATCACGTCTTGACCATTTATCTGCCCTTGGTTGGGGATGTTATGGTCTCGTGCGAACTGCCACTGTCTAAGTCATTATCCTTAGACTCTGCTGCAGCCGCTGCTGCTGCCGCCATCTCCTTAGCCTTGGCTTCAGCCGCCAGTCGTTCTGCCTCCCGCGCAGCCTCATAGGCTGCGATACGCTTCTCGCGTTGCTTCTGGGCTTCAACGACAGCTGCCTAAAAACACAAATGTACGACTGATTACAGACTTGAGGTTTTGGGATTGTAGATTAACAAGTTTGTCCACGATTGAGTTCTTCAAGTACAATGGCCACTCCTACATGGAGGGTTTTGTTTCTCAACCGGTACCCACCTCTTTCTCAGCCTGCAGAACTCTGGCCGTCTCCTTCAGTCTCTGCATGTGCTCGTGTGCTCGGAAAAGTTTGCGGATGAAGAAGATGTGGATCTGATGGGTCCAGAAGTTGAACTGTCTGGTGTCTTCGTCCATCTCTTCCTCCGGTTCTTCTGTTAAAAAGAAAGGAGTAATGTCTTCAGGTATAGTATCTACCAACGCTTTTCACTCGCCTGATATGATTCACCTCTGTAAACTGTGACTGGGGCCTAATGAAACAGCAATTTGCATCCCAGTTCATTGTTGCCATGGCAACATTCTCGAAGCTTGCAGGTAATATCATCTTCACTATTCACAACTTCGCTGAGATGCATCGATTGCATTGTTTGTGAGACAGGCAGTCGAACTGGAGATGAATTTTTTTCCCAGCCAAATTGTAAGACAAAATCTAGTGTGAGGCTGTCAGAACTTAGCCCCAAATATGACAAAAGTCTCTCTGTATGCAGCTAAAGTCATACAAGTAGGACTGTTGATAATATGACACAAAGTTATGCTGTGCCCGAATCAACTGGCTATGGCTAAGACTTGCACACGTGTCCATGGGAATTTGGTCACAGCTGCAGCCAGTAGGCAATGGCTTCCATTGACGGCCATGTTTTTTTTTTCAGTCATAGCCATCAGCCATAGCCATAGCCATGGACACACCCTTACTTACCCTCTGGCATTTCATTCTGTTCAGCTCCCATAGACAACATGGACTGCAACAGGTGTGGTTGTTGTGCATCCTCACCTCCACTGGAGGGGGCTCCTGGTCCACTGTGGGATGATGCAACTAGGCCTGAGGTATCTGTCATGCAAGAGAAAATGTCAAAGGTAAAAACTACTCCATCTGCGTATTTTCTTACAGCTGAACTAGTCCTCAAACACTGATATTTTGTTCTGCCTGGATAAACATAACTTTTTAACAATGCACTACTCAGTTTGGGATCCTGATAAAATGGACGTTCTTTGGGTGCAAAAATGTTGGGGGTTCCCATTGATTTCTTTTCTGAAACATTCTTTTAGAGGCCTTTTAAACAAAAGTAGCTCTGCTGACATATGACTCAATTTGGTGGGTTAGGGTTGCAACTGATGTCATTTTAAGGCAGTAGTCCTGTACATCTTTTGAACAAGTTTTAAAGATGGGATCGCAGTCCATGCAAAAATCTAACATTTTTTATCGGGTGAAGACATTTTTTGTTTCAATGGGGCCAAGCTTTGTGATTACTTTGCCCTCAAACTCAACGGAAGAAATCAGACAACAAAATACATTCTCTTAGAGGGAATGAATTCGATTTGGAGCTTGGCCTGTCTGAAGGAGGAATGGATGTCTCTGACCTGATTTTAACACCTTGGGGTCCATAGTAGTGTTGCTCGGGTCTTGGCCAATGTCTGTGTGCTGACTTCCAGTTGCAATTGAACCTTGAACCTGTGGAAATCGAATAAAAAAAACAGACTTCAATCACATCTTTATCAACTTGAACGGCAAAATTCCACAATGCCAATCAAACCAGTTGCATTTATCTCAATTCTGGGGCAAGATCAAGAAAACTAACAGTAGCAGGTGGGGAATTAGTTTTCGGTCAATTTTCTTTCTTTTGTGGGTTGGGATAGTGGGTTTTCCCCAAACTTTTATGCACATATTACAGATTTAACCCTACCACCCCTCAGTCCTCCAACAGGTGCAGGATTGAGGAGTCTTAGGGTTAATAGTTTCAAGTTGGCAAGTCGTCAGCTAGAACTGTGTTTACGAGGCTAAACAATGTTTGCATATAGTCTAGAAAGGTTTTGAGAGATCAATGGAAAAAGTAGGATATTCATAACACTTAAGGCAGAGGGCTTCCAACCTCTCTATATTTTACCTTTTTGTCTTTTTAATTTGTATCATTTTTAAATACGTGATTAATCATAATGAAGCTGGTAACGACAAAGAACAATTTATTTCTGTGTGGCCCTATTCAATTTCACACACCTCTACTTTGGCAGCAGACAGCTCCAGCCCTGACCCCTTATTGGTGGCGTCTGTGGATGAGGCTACCCTTGGCCCTGGTGACATGGATTCTGATGTTGCTCCTGTGTGATGTGGGGAACCAGGACCAGTGGTACCCTGCTCTTCGCTGTCATCAAGAGGCTGAAAAGAAAGAAAAATGGGTATTCATGATCATCATCATCTTGGCTGGTTAGCAAGTGCTTCCCTGCCACAATTCATTCATATGCAGTATTTGAAGCTAATTAGCAATTATTGGACTAATGGAGATGCCAAGCTAGCTCCTAAATATGCATGAAGTACAATATCTAGCTAGGTCTTGAAGTAGTGGTTAAACCAATGTGGGTACTAAACTGTCTCATGAATACGCATAAAGTGACAAAACTGCTGTATCCTTGAATAGCCTTTCAGCTAATTAGCAATGATTTGGCCCAAGAAGGTACTAACTAGCTCATGAATATGCATATGCTGGCTCATAAATATATGGTACCTGGCTAGCCCTTGAAGCTGATGCCCCTGTGGTGGCACTGAAGCTACTGTGACTGTGCGATATGACTGTGCTCGGCCTTGGGGTGGAGGGGTCCTTGACAATATCCTCGGTCACAAAGATCATGGCACAGCCAATCAACGCCTCAAAGAACTCCAGGAAAGTCATCTGGAAGGAAATGGGACGCGTCAATGAGATGTGGAACGTGCTGTCGTGGTCTGTTCCAAATCAATCAAAATGTAATGCCTACACTGAGCTACATGTTGAATCAACGGCCTCGAATGACTTTGTACTCAGTGGGTACATGTAGCTCTCTTATGCAGTGGGTTCATAACAGATTCAACTTTCTCCATGATTCGCCTTGTACCTCAAGTTCTAGATTGCATTCATGAGTGTCATATGCCCCCGGATCATCTGCTGCCAGGACTTCCAAGATTCTCTTGGGAGTCAAGTTGTCATTGATGAGACGATAATCCTTCAGCATGTACAGGAACTCTCTCATCTTCAAGGTTGGCTCGAAAGGCGGATGCTGTTGGGAAAAGGATACCGAGAGAACACAGTAATTGGTAACAATCCCACCTCTGCCACCATTACAAACATCTTGTAGCGGGAGTTTCTTATTTTTCTTGTCTGAATTTTGGTCCAATTGTACTATAATGATTTCTGTTTGAATACTTAAACTAAAATATTCTTATCTCTAAAGATATTTCCTGAAGCCCAATCCTTTGACACTGTAACATCTGTGTTGTATTTGTCATTGTAGTTCTTTAAGCTACACGGTTTCAAGCCAGTTAAACTATTTATAAACTGACCCTCCACTTTCTGCTGATTGAATTCTACATATAATGCAACACTTTTTGATTATATGCAGATTTTCTTTTATCCTTTTACTTCTTGTTCTCCCAAGCTTTTATTAGCTTTATTAATATATGAAAATGAGCAGTTGCCAGAATCTTGTCTGACTTGGGCTCTTGTTTGTCGTTTCCCAGGTACCTTGTTCGGGGAAGAGACAGAGCAGTAGATCTCCCAGCATTTGTCCATGTAACCCAAGGCATTGACTGCCCGCCGTGGTTCATACAAGAATGTGCCCTGGACATCGCAGGCTGCTGGTATGATGTTATCAGTCATGGCTTTGGCGAGACACCATGACAGGACAGTACCACTTTGACTTCTGGGTAAGGAAGACACGGGACAATTTCAAAAATAACTGAAACAAAAATCTGACGAAAATAACAACACAAAAGATTATCTGCTCTGTGCTTGAACAAGAGATGGTGTGTGTTAACATAGCAACAACATCTTATCAAAGGGAACACTGTCACACATCAGGTTCACACATGCTTGATGCAAGCCATTGTGAGCTCATGCGACCATATTCCATTGAAACGTTCAGTCTTTGCATGTGCACTAGGCACCTGGTAGAAACTGTCTCCACCAACCTCTCTGTCTCTTTTCTTCCTGACAGGGTGTGCGTCAACACCGAGCATATCGGATGGAAATCAAAAAAGGTGCAACTAAACAAATGCACGAATTTAAACTTTAAGTTAAATCGTTTCACAACTGCTTTGGAATGATTTTCGTCTTGTTTCGCGGTGACTATTTGATTTCTTCATTTACAGACTTACGTGCATTCCTCTTGGTAGATATGGTAGGACAGCGTAATAAGATTGTTCAGGAATTCTCGCATTAGGAGCTTGTCAAGAGGGTTATGAACGTCGGTGACTGTCTTATTGGGAGCTGTGAACGTAAATAAGAAATAATTATTTCGTAGTGGGATTCATCCTTCAACATTGTGACACGCAATTGCCCAGTGCTTGCCAAGAGTAAAGCAGAAAACTGTATAAACTTGTTCAGATGGGACTGGAACCCATGACCTCCTATGGACTAACCCAGCGAACAGGGTTGGAATCAATTAACACTGTGGCAACCTGCTGGTAGACAGGTGTCACGTTCCCCTTTGACCAATAGGGTATGGTGATGTGTCTATATGTATAGCACACTTCAAGTCAACTTCCTTGAAAGAGAAGAGAGTTGACATGACAACGAAATCCAGGATTTGTTTGTTGGTCATTTATCCCACTTACATAGGATTCTGTCCATCTCAGTCAGGGTTAGATTGTTGTAGTGGAACTGGCAGTCTTTGAGGAAGCGCCAAAACTGAAGCCTGGTCATGATGAAGGTGTTGTCAGGCGACGTGTCGTGCCCCAGGCTGCCGTAGAAATTGTAGACTTTCTTGAAGGTTGTGATGTGACGGAGAACCACAAACATCACCTGCCGTGAGACATCAGGAAAACCACATCATAAGAACAAAAATTTGTGTACAGGGTTTCAAGTTAAGTCAAGCCACAAACAGCAGGTGGTTCAATAGACAATACACCTGTTTCAGCTTTTCTACACAGTTGGCTTGGTTGTATGTGAAAAATTAGTATGTTAGCCACTGCAGTACGTATCTCATGGAAAATTCTACACAAAGCATTTTGTTAAGTTCCATCATGAACTGACTACACCCTTTGATAGTGGTAACTTCTTGGTTCAACCAGTAGTCACGGTGCATAGCAACTAACACCATTTCAGGCACTCAGCGGGTGTTACCTGTCCTTATAAATATGCAGCAGTCAAGTTTCATTCACAGGTCAGTTCTCATGCATATGTATGAGTTCAGGTGTCAGGAGTAGCCAGTTACCTGTCGGATCTCCTCCTCTCTGTCATTCTCATTGAAGTCACTCAGCAGGTGTTCTAGCTCCAAGGTCAGACTGGGGCCTAGTGTGTTCCTGCTAGCGTCACTGCGGGACGTCACATCGCCCATGCCTAGATATCCAAAAAGAGAAAAAATCAGTTCAGTATTCCCTAAAAGGCAAGCCTGAACATGTTCAGTGCAAGTAAGTTGGTGTATTATCTCCCTGATAGGACCGACCTAATGACAGTGCTGTATGAACAGTGGTTGCAAGGGCAGAAGTTGGCTAGCAAAGCCATGGGATAGACCAACAGTGGTTGCAAGGGCAGAAGTTGGCTAGCAAAGCCATGGGATAGGCCATCAGTGGTTGCAAGGGCAGAAG